GATGTGCTGGAACGCGCACGGGGGGTCTCATCTGGAGACATGGGAACGCCAGAGTATTGGCTGGAGTGGTACGCCAATGCGTTGGAAACGTCGACGGAAGCGAAACGCGCGAATCGAGATTTCCGGGAGGTCGGAGAGTTCAAAGGAACGTCGCTACCTGTGGTAAGCGTAGTGTCGAGCGACAGGACGAGAGTACGGGTACTGAGGTGCCTACTGGAGACGAGGAAGGGCGCAAGTTCATGCGGAACGTGTGTGTAGGACTTGATGGAACTACCGCCTCGGTCTCTTGGAACCCCGAAAAGGAAGCAGGAACGCTGTTTAGATGGCGTTCCATAATTCGTAATCGAGTATACGAACTCCTTAAACGGGAATGGAACATGGAAAAGAGTCCTCATCGAGGAGGCCCGAGGGCCTTAGAGAACGATGGAGCCGAGGACTACGTTCCACCGTTACGGGACAAGGAGGACAAAGATTGTCTGGATGAGGAGTTGCTACGCGGATACCTAGTTGAAGTGGGAGGAACGCAAAATGTGGCGTTCCTGGATCGGGCTGTGAGTTGGGCCCTTCGCTATTTTGAGGTTGAAGCTCGCGGTATAAGGGACAAATTGTGAGAAAGGGCGAAGGACAATCCAGAGATAGTGGACCCGGGCGCGACGAGCATCGCAAAAAAAAGGCGGAAAAAGGTGACCTTTCATTTGCCGACCGAGGAAGGAGGGGCCGCAGTTGCCGAAGAGGCACCCGATGTTTATTGGGTGAGCACGGGGAAAGCCCCAAGGAGGCCAAGAAGGCCTGGGCTGCGCGAAGAAGACGCCGGTGATGACGAGGAAGGCGACGACGACGTCGTGCCCCAGTGCAAGCGAGTCATTGGCAGCGTCGGGGGTTTGCAGGCCCTATCGGACGGTTACATCGACTGCTGCCCGTCGGAGATGCTGGCAGACACGGGCGCCATAGCGAGTCTAGTCGACAGAAGGGTGATGAGGCGTCTGGGGCGTGACTCAGAGCCACTCCGGCCCTACTGTGGAACACTAGACAGTGTATCAGGGCACGCGATCCGCGTCCGTGGAGTGATTGACCTTCCGGTGACACTCGGAACGCTGGAGAAGACGCTTCCTTTTGTAGTGACCGACCACTTTTTCGTGGATGCGATCATTGGAACAGATTCGTTGAAGACGTTTCGTGCTGTGATAGACCTCGAGGAACAGTCGATGCTGAAGGAAACAGGGGACGTGATCCCCTTGGGCGTGGCGAGGGTGGAAGAGACGTATGCCGCCAAGATATCGTCGTCAGTACGGCTGGGACCGGGTCGCCAAGCTCTCGTGCGGTCAAGTGTTCGAGGAGCTGTGAAGGACAAGTCGGTCGTGCTAGTCGAGGGCGTTCCAGAGGCGGAAAATTCGCTGAGAGTCGCTCGGACGCTGTGCACGGTGACAAACGGAACGGTTCTGGTCGAGGTGTGCAATGCTTCTACAGAAGAGGTGGAAGTCGAGTCTGGAGCTTACCTCGCTGCTGTGACTGTTGTGCCAGAGTCGGCCTTCACTACTGAAGCACCAGAGCGAGAGGGAACGCCGAAGAACATCAGTGCGGTATTAAGCGCCTCTAGTAAGAACGCCGAGACTCGGGTTGAGACGGAAGAGGCGGAAATGACCGCGGCGATGAAGAACAGAGATGACGATGACTTTGAGGTGGACTTCCAAGACTCATCGTTAGGGGCGGAACAGAGGACACTTTTCGTGGAAATGCTGAAGGACATGCGAGATCTGTTCGTCGAGACCTCCAAGAAGCCTGGGAGGACTGAACTTCTGAGGTTCAGCATTGACACGGGAACGCATGTGCCGATAAAGCAGCCCCCGTACCGGGTTTCGAAGGCTGAAGGAGACGTTGTGGAGTCTGAGATTCAAGAGTATTTAGACCTTGGGCTCATCAGGCCTTCAACGAGCCCGTGGCGAGTCCCGTGCTTATGATAAGGAAGACCGACGGTGGTATTAGATTCTGTATCGACTACAGGAAATTGAACGCTGTCACGGTGAAGGACAGCTACCCCATGCCGTTGATAGACGACATCTTGGATGTTCTGGGGAACACCAAACTCTTCTCGACCATGGATATCGCCTCTGGATATTCCAATGGATCCAGACAGTGTGGAAAAGACGGCGTGCACAAGTAAGTTTGGATTGTACGAGTGGCTTGTCATGCCGTTTGGCTTGTGCAATGCTGTTCCAGCTTTCGAGCGGTTGATGGAGAATGTCCTCGTTGATCTCATGTGGAGGGTCTGTCTGGTCTACCTGGACGACTGTGTCGTCTTTAGTGACGATTTTCCTACTCATTTAGGGCGAGTACGCCAAGGTTTGGAACGCTTTAAGAAGGCCGAATTCAAGCTGAAGATGAAGAAGTCTCACTGGGGACGCAATCAGGCAACGTTCCTGGGCCACATTGTGACTCCAACTGGAATCCTACCTAATCCTGAGAAGGCGAAGGCGGTGATGAATATCGAGAGGCCGCATGACCTGCACACGGTCAGGACGTTCCTGGGACTGACTAGTTACTTTCGGCGTTATATACCGGGCTTCGCAGCGATTGCAGCACCGTTGGAACGCCAGAAGCAAAAAGGGGTGGCGTTCTTGTGGAACGACGATTGTGAGGTCGCGTTCCGATAGCTCCAACGAGCACTGGTGAAGCCACCTATTCTCGTGTATCCTAATTTCAGGAAGCGCTTCAAGCTCTACGTGGATGCATCTCTCTTGGCTGTAGGGGCATGTCTGATGCAGGAGATCGACAAGCGTGACCGGGCAATCGCGTATGCTAGCAAGATGTTGGTAGGCTCTCAGCGGAACTGGATCTACAAGACGAGTGGAACAACGGAAATTGAATGTTGGGAATCGTGTGGGCTACGCGTAAATTTAGGTGCTACTTAGATCACGCCGAGTTCGGCCTGTTTACGGATCATCAGGCGCTCACGTCGATTTTTGGTGAGAATACGAGGACGACGAACGCCAAGTTACCACAGTGGTCTATGGAGTTGTCACAGTTACGGTTTAAGGTGCACCACAGGTCGGGAACGTCGATGGGGGCATGTCGATGGCTTGTCGAGGCTGTACCACCGACCGGACGACGGCGTAGTGGGTGTCATCCGGATGGCTGATCTCCTCAATGAAGAAGCGGAAGATGAAGCCGATCTCGGAACGTCGAGGTCTGGAGTGACACGAATGCTGGAAGGAACGCCGGATCCCGGTGGAACGACCGTTTGGAACGTCGGCGAGGGTGTTGTCCCTGTCGGGGAGCACCTCGAGGCCACAGTTCCTGGCGACGGAACGCCGAGGGATGGATCGCTGGAGCCGAATGAGCCTCTTACGCAAGCGGAACAGGAAGAGAATCTCGAGGGTGGGGCTCCTCTGATGCACCCGTCTCCCGTGGACGTATTCGGGCTGTATTGTGATAAGTTCGTAGAAGAACAAGGACGTGTGCCTTGGATGAGGGCATTGAAGGCGTTTCTTGAAGATGGAGCGTTGGCGCTCGATCCGCAATTAAGGGTCAACGTACTGAAGATGTCACCCCACTACGTGATGAGGA